ATGAGTGTTTATCCACCACTTCCCTGTGTTTGTCTCCACCATAATAAGTCTGCCCAGGAGCGACTCCAGTCATGCCGGTGGTTAGCTGTGGGATCGCACATAAAGCACTGGGATTTAAACCAGAAAGATCGTTGTTAATAAGAACCCTGAATACACAGAGTTGTATCCAGGGAGGTCGCCACAGTCCCCCCCTCCACCACGGGCAAGTCAGCAGTAAATGAAGACCTGCTGCTCCTTTCTGTTGGGTCTACATGCAAAACACTTTATCAGTTTACCTATATTGGTGATTTACTAGTGATCTGGTTTGGTTAATCACTCCAAAGTGGCAAAGCTCTGTTAGTGCAGCTACAATTATTTCATATAGTTACATGGGATGTGGGTGCAAAACATCTTTCATTTCAGTTCAGCCAGCCAACAGGAGCTGCCCCCTTGCACCGCACCGACTGCACCTCTGGAAGGAGGAGCGAGGAGGAGATGGGGGCAAGCATCCTGCATAGTTTTGGCAGCAGAGCTGTGGGGCAGGGTAAGGGCTGTCCTGGCACCCGCATTGTTCCCCTAGGAGAACATCTCTGCACCAGCTGCGGAGAGGGATCTGCATGCTCATCTCCTCCTGAACGAGGTGCTCCTGTGCTTGGTGACATTAGCCACCTTTTGAGCTTTTAATTAGTTTGGCTTTGTATTAAAAGTACATCTTGGGCATTTCGAAGCCTGCCATACAACATGTCTTGTCCACGATTGCTTTTTCATGAGACTTGTGGGGCTGCGTTTTCTGGGTTGTGGTAGTACAATCTGGAGTTGTGAGAGAAAGCCCTCGGGGGCTAATCCGTGGCTGCGGGCCAGTTTCTGCATAAACTGGTCTTATTTTTAAAGTCCATTTTCTCCAGTACACTTTTTTTGGCCTGCAAAAGACTTCTTCATTTAAAACGAAGAACATAACACTCTCTCCTTTCAGTTGGTCTTTTGGACATGAGCCAGTAGTGCCCACAACAGCTGTACCACAGGTTAAACATTCAGTCTCTAATGGTTTGGGGAACATTAGGGTTTTTAAGGCTTCAACAGGTCTAGAGTAAATAGTGGTCAATAAAGAGTAGCTCTTCTTTGTATCCCTATGCTCTCAGTGCTCTGCACTAGAATAAAGCATGCTTAGAATATAATCATTGCAAAATTAATATCCGTGAAAGGTTCTTTTTTTTTGAAAAGAATTATAGAGAAACCCATTTCACTAAAAGAAGACTTTGCAAGAGTTCAGCTCGCAAGAATCTGGTAACAGGCCTGTAATGTCTGTTAGATGTGCTTGCGTTGCTCCCTGTGTCTGTGTTTAATGTCTGCTAAGTGGGAAGAACAAATAAATTACAGAGAGAAATTACAAATAAATTTCTCTGTTGTCTTCTCCCACCCACCAGTCTCTATTAATGATGTACACAGGAGGTAATTACGATTTCTTGTCTTCCTTACAGCTTTCCAGTATTGCATAGAGTCAAAAGATGGCATGTGCTAATGGGTAACATTTAATGTAGTGGTTTGGACCCAGATGAGGCAGAAACTACGTTAGTGGTGATGGGTGATAGTTGGACATTGCCCTTGTTAGGGATCAAACCCAATGCTGAGGACTAGTGCTGCCCTAATGATTTAAATGGATTAATGTTGGTGGAGCTGTCAAACTGTATGGAGCAAAGTGCTCATTTCTTTCAAGTTTAACAGATGTGGCTGAGAAAACGCGATCCACGTGGGAGTCCTTATCAAAAAGAAAAGCCCATGGGTGTCACGGTGCTTCTGCAGCATGGGGTCAGTGTCCGCAGGCGCCTCAGCCCAGGAAGGGTTAAATTGCTCTGTTGGCTGCTGGCCACTTGGACTTCATTTACAGCGCTTCATGCTGCTGTGCGAAAATAGTTTGTAAGTCATTATACTCTCTGAATTGATTAACCCCTTCCAATACCCTTCCATGTGTTTCCTAGTGGTGTGGCCTGTACCTCGGTTCCTGGCTGGGGGATTGGGGCTGCAGGATGCTGCTGTGGCCCACACCTTTTGCCGCTTGCTGAATAAGGAGACAAGAGGGACGCTGGAGTAGGAGAGGGGGAGACTTCATAGGGAAAACAGTGAAAAAGCCAGCCTTGCAAGGTATTCTTCTGAAAAATAGGATTATAGAAAAGCCTGGCGACTGTAGTGCTTCTCATCAGTCACGCTGCCGGGTTGGCCGGAGCGCAGGGTTTGTGACAGTTGTCACCTTTTTGGCTGGAGCAAGGTGGCCCTTAACAGATGTTTCAGTTGTGAATTCCTTTGCGTTGAAGCACCAGTAAAGACTTGCTGAGGTATGTTTTATTTTCAGATCAGTTTTCAAAGTTAACTAGTTTTTGGAAAAGGCGAGAAGTAGTATTAAAAGTTCAGAAGTTAGCCAGCCTAGCTGAGGTTACTCCTGCATGGCAAGCCAGAGCTTTAAAATACGCATGTTAATTTTACTTAGGGCCATTTGCTAGGGGTTCGTATCTTTACTTCCACTGAGAAGTTTCATAACATTTTCCTACCCATCGGTATTCTATTAAAACTTCGTTGTGTAATCTAAAAGCCTTTCTGCCTCTGATGGTTTCCTCTCATAGCTAATTCAGAATGCCCTAGATGGCAGTTTTGGAATAAATGCATTCAGGCTGTATGGTCTTGATTTTGTTTTCTTATAAATCAAAACAAGATTTGAAATTAAGTCCTATTGCCAATTTTCCTTTAAATAATAGTTGCCTAATGACATGATTTAAGAATTTTTATCTAATGTCACAATACTCTTGCAAAAGCCTGTGCCTATAGTTGTATTGTAGTTAAAATGTCAGTGAAATCTCCAGACCATTACCATACACATTTAATACTTTTATTTATATATATATATATATATATGTATGTTGTGTTAGAGAGGATAGATCAGTGGAGTCAGTAAAAATATACGTGCGGGTCCTGCAGTGTTGAGCTGGTCTTGTTCTTGCTCTGTGAGCTACCATTGTAATAAATTCTGCTTACAGGACTGACTGTAAGTGGGTGTGATTTGAGGTCTCCTAGCGCCCTTAACAGAAGCAGCGAGGTTCAAATTAGACAAAAAATGAAGTGTTATTAGTAGAGGAAACAATATAGGGATACAAATGAAGAACAGTCTTTGGGTGAGTGGAAAAACATGCTTCTCGGGAAAGCATGAGGTTCATTCAGTGTGGATAACTCTCTGCTGAACACAGGATTAGACCAGCTAACCTCTGCCCACCGCACTCTTTTAAGTCTTGCATGACTTCTGAAGGGAATATACGTCTTGACAGACAGCTCATCTGTGGTTTGCCAGGATGTTCTCTGGCTGCCTTGCTGTATGTGATCTATCTAATAAGAGGCAGCCTCTGGCCTGAATTGCTCACAGACGGCATGAAAGCACGTGGGGGAGAGTGGGCAAGAAGGTGAACGTGAGCGGGAAAGAAGAGGTGGGGGATTGGTGATGACCCGTGAAAAAAATGTCCTTTTCTTTCTCAATCCGGCTGAAATTCCTCCCTCCCTCCTTTGAAACGAATTATGTTTGTTGGGATTAAAATCCGTGCGAGCTGCTTCGAGTAGCCACAGCTTGCTCCTGTGCTGTCCGCAGTGATACGCTGAATTTCAGGTTTCAGTATGGGCACATCTGGTTTGTTAAGATAGCGGCAATTAAATCCAGGTGTAAGTTTATCCCTTAGATTCAGTGTCTGTCCACAATAATGGGAAATATGCAACCGAAGGCCTAATAAAACAGGACTTCTGCTGGGTCTGCACAGCTGGTAGAAGCATCACTCTGTTAAAGGGAGGCTTTCTGTGCCTGTGATTTTCCTTTTAGTGCTCCCTTTAATCACCGTCGTATTTGAGTCATTATCTCTTCTGTTTGTCTTTTGGATTTTAGCTCTTTGCTAATCTTCACAGCCTTTTTATATGCGCTTTACTGCCTGTATTACCTATAGCAAACGCTGCTGCTGATAACATAGATTGCATCCTATATTGAATGAAACTGTTGCGTCAGCTCCACTGGCAGGTTGATGAGATTTGTGTTGTGACATAGAATCAGCCCATGATCTTTTTAAACATCCATTGTCTAGGCTGGTATATAACTTTGGCCTTGAGGGGCTTTTTTCCTCTTCTTTTTTTTTTTTTTTTCCAGCTTATTTTCCACATTATCCTCTTGGTTTCCATATGCCTTTCATTATATCGGCTACTGCCTGACCTACTGCAAACTGTAAAGCTGGTTTGCCTGCTTTTCTGAAGTTGTGGCTTCCATAAGGCTTCTGAATCTAATCTTGGCTCACTATCTTCTTGTTTTGAAATAGCGATTTCCACTTTATGGATGCTTTTATTCTAGCGTACATACGCATCATGTATTACCTGCCTCCTGGAACTGCTGCGAGGAATCTCAGGTGCATTTTACTTTCTGTTGACATTTTAAAAAGGCAGGGAAAGCGTAGCTTTGCATTGCAGCGCTTGAGGTAACATATTTAGCATCTTGACTAAAACATTCAGCAAGCTGGACTTTTAATGCCATAACAGCATTTGGGTGTAATGGAAAAGGTGTCACCATACTTGCTTACGATGTATATGGCATCCTTTTTTACCGTTCAGTATTACTATTATTATTATTATTACCCATGGGAAGCAGAATAATAGTAAGAGTTTTGTAGTGAACACTTCATGGTTCTTTTTTTCCCGGTGATGCTGTATTGTGAAAAAATGAGCTTACAATATGCTTACTGCTCAGTTGTTTGGCTGACGGTAGTATCTCTAGAATGGGCTGTAGTAATCCCAAATCCATGGTAGATGTTTCTTTTACCAGTTTACAATGAATAATCCTCTTAATTTCCTTGAATAGCAGCTGGTATTGCTACAACCTGTGCCTAAAACCAAGAACAGCTTATTCAGAAAGCCTTCTGGCCCTGCAAGCAAGGAGGAATTTTCTCCCAGCGGGGGCTGCGGGGTTAACTTTACTGCCAAAACACTAACTTCTCCTTTCTCTCCTCTAGATGCAGCAGCTGTTTTATGAAAATTATGAGCAGAACAAAAAAGGCTATATCCGAGACCTGAGGAACAGCAAAATACACAGAGCTATAACGCTGCACCCCAATAAGAACCCCCCGTACCAGTACAGACTTCACAGCTACATGTTGAGCCGCAAGATAGCAGAGCTGCGCCACCGGACTGTACAGCTGCACCGGGAAATTGTCCTGATGAGCAAATACAGCAATACAGAAATCCACAAAGATGACCTGCAGCTGGGGATGCCACCCTCCTTCATGCGGTTCCAGCCCCGCCACCGGGAAGAAATCTTGGAGTGGGAGTTCCTCACAGGGAAGTATTTGTATTCGGGTGCCGATGGGCAGCCCCCTCGGAGAGGAATGGACTCTTCTCAGCGTGAAGCATTGGATGACATTGTTATGCAAGTCATGGAAATGATCAACGCCAACGCTAAGACCCGGGGGAGGATCATAGATTTCAAGGAAATACAGTATGGCTATCGCAGAGTCAATCCGATGTACGGAGCAGAGTACGTTCTTGACTTGTTGCTTCTGTACAAAAAGCATAAGGGGAAGAAGATGACCGTCCCCGTCAGGAGGCACGCGTACTTGCAGCAGACGTTCAGCAAGATCCAGTTTATGGAGCACGAAGAGATGGACGCTAAAGAGCTGGCCAGCAAAATCAACCAGGATTCTGGATCCCTGTCTTTCCTCTCCAACTCGCTGAAGATGTTTGTTCCCTTCCAGCTCAGCCGATCAAAAGTAGAGAGGAAGGAACTCAAAGACAAGAAGATCAACATCCTGATTCCTCTCTCCGGACGTTTTGACATGTTTGCAAGGTTCATGGGGAATTTTGAAAAGACGTGCCTCATTCCAAACCAGAATGTCAAGCTGGTTGTCCTGCTTTTCAATTCCAACTCCAACCCTGACAAAGTGAAGCAGATCGAGCTGATGAGAGATTACCGCTCTAAATATCCCAAGGCTGACATGCAGGTTTTACCGGTGTCGGGGGAGTTCTCGAGGGCATTGGCTCTGGAAGTCGGATCTTCTCAGTTCCAGAACGAGTCTTTACTTTTCTTCTGTGATGTTGACTTAGTGTTTACCACAGAATTCCTCCAGCGGTGTAGAGCCAATACAGTTTTGGGTCAACAAGTATACTTTCCCATCATTTTTAGCCAGTATGATCCAAAGATTGTTTATAGTGGAAAAGTTCCTAGTGACAATCATTTTGCCTTCACCCAGAAAACAGGTTTCTGGAGGAACTATGGCTTTGGTATTACCTGCATTTACAAAGGTGATCTCCTTCGAGCAGGTGGCTTTGATGTCTCCATCCAAGGTTGGGGCCTTGAAGACGTAGACCTATTTAACAAAGTCATTCAAGCTGGCTTAAAAACTTTCCGAAGCCAAGAAATTGGAGTAGTCCATGTGCACCACCCTGTTTTTTGTGACCCTAATCTTGATCCAAAACAATATAAAATGTGCTTGGGGTCCAAAGCTTCAACTTATGGGTCCACACAACAGCTGGCTGAAATATGGTTTGAAAAAAATGACCCAAATTTTGGGAAAAGCAGCAATACTAATGGCTCAGTGAGGACAGCCTAATGTCCAGCTATGCTGGAAAAGACTTTTTTTTTAATTATCTAATTTATTTTTGGGAAAATGTTTTTTGATAATTCACTTTTAAAAGACCACACAGGATATATTTTAGAAATCATCATTGTTTTCTTACAAAGCGCTCGTTTTGAGAAGAACAAGGCCGTTGGTTTTTTCGTTGTTGTGTTCTTGGTTTTGAACAAAACTGTGATCAATATTTGCCTTCAAACAAAAAAATTGTTTAAGAGTTATCTGACCGATCGGCGGAAATCTGACTTGAATTAGAATTTCCTTACGAACAAAAGATTGTTTCTTACCTTTTCTGTGCTGTCTTCATTACTGGGATTCTGTAAATCGGGACCTGAGCGTGCAAGCCAAGTGACAAAACGGTGTATCTAAATGGTTTGTTGTGACTGCTACCGTGCAAAGATTCTGCTTCTTTGGTTAAGGATAGCCAGTATTTTTTAAATGGCGTTAGAACAAAACCAAGCGGTGTGGCGATGAAAAGGGTATTAATCGCAGGAGGGTTTTTTTTTTTTTCCAGATGGCTGGTTATTTCAGTTCAAAAATACACTTCCACTTGTTACAGCCAGGCGACTTCAAGGGAGGGAAGAAAGTAAGCACAACCTGCTCTCTGGTTAGTCCTTGTAGAAATGTTTGTCTTTTATATTTGGTCCATATATGGACGTTAACGTTTTAAGAATCCGTGGTGGGTTCAGTGTTTTATCCTCAACCGCTGTCCTGTACGTGATCAAGAAATGCCGAAGCGTAACGAGGGAGGGGAAGAGGTTGGGAAATGCGAATCTCTTGCAGCAAAGCGACAGTATGCAACGAACAATTAGAGATCCCTAACGAGAACTTTGAAAAAAGAACCCTCTCTACCGAGTGTACTGCACACGATTGCGTTGATTTTGTTCAGTCGGTTACGTGACGTTAATGGGAACAATTATTACATTTGATTACTAGTTTTGTTTTGGGATTATTTTTTTCTGTATCTGATAGACCGTTAATTTATTTAATATCCATTGGTTTAGGTTCTTGACCTTTTCTTGAATACCTGTTAGTCATTTTAATATTTTATATATATATATATATATGTGTGTGTAAATATATATATATATATTAGGAACGTATTGCATCTTCTCACTGATAAGGTAGTGTACATCATACTTGCAGTAAATGATCTCCAAAGATTACTTTCTAAAATACTTTTTTCATGGA